TGAGCAGGATGATGAGCAGGTTCCCCAGCACCGTGGTCAGGTACATGCCCAGGAACAGGGCAAAGAACACGCCCTGCTGTTCTGGCCGGATGGGGAGCCCCAGGAGGAGGAACTGGGACACACTGCTCTGGTTCTCATGCCTCATGCTGCTCTTCTCTTTTCTGGGGATGAAGTGAAATGGGAAATGTCAAAAACTTTCAGAGTGTGATTATGGCCACCATATTAGAGTTTCTTACTCTCTCCTGAAGAATGAGAAAAACTGCCTGAAATTCTATTATCATCTAGTGTTGCCAAAGCAAGCAACACACCCTCAATGCCCAACATAATTCCTTTCAATGGCGACCAGAACAAATTCATTATTCTTATTTTTTTAATCAACCATGTTACTGGTACTATGCTATTAAGTTGAGATACAAGAAAAAATAGAACACTCAGGACATCCTCCGTCAGAATGCTAACCCTCCAGGGTGCACCTGGCAGAGGACTGACTAAAGGTGTGAATCTGCAGCTAGATGCCTCGCACTGTGATAAAGACCCCCCAGTTCCTAGCTGTATGATTTGTGGAGCTAAATCTCTCTTGGCCTCATGTTGCATCTCTGTAGGGTGAAGATACCAGTATCACACATTCATAGGGTTAATATGAGGGGCCTCATCAAAGACATATTAATACCTTAGAACAGTGTCCTGCATGAAATAAGCATACCATATTTTAGCAGTTATTTTTATGACAGAATAAATATCCAAATAAAACCAGGATCAAATTCAGGAATTTAATAAAGCAGAATTATAAGATGGTTAGCAGAAAGAACCGGGTAGCTGACCTACAAGTTGTGTTAACCTGTCTGAGTTCTCTCACTCTCAGGAGAGTTTCTGACTCCAGATCCTGACCACACACATAAAACTTTCATCAATTTTCCAAGAATTAAGACTTCGGTCTGTGTATGACCATGTATCTCCATTTATATTTGATGCTTCAAATTGCCTTGGATCTGGGAATTCATAGGCAGGAGGACAAATGAGCACCTGCCTGGGACCTGAACACTGGTAGATGCTGAGGATGGGCGGTATCTAGTCACAGTTACCAGATTAGCCATCACCGTTTCCCAGTACTGATCTTCACACTGACAACAATTGACATTTAATGAACACTTACATAAGACAAAAATATTTTTGCATTATTGCCCCATTAAATTTTTTCAACAGCCCTAAGAGATAAGAATTATTAAAACCCCATTGTTCACATACTCAGGAGTGAAAAACTAGCATGGTCACACAGTTAATAAACGACGTACACAACTCTCTCTCATGTCTGTTTTTTTAATTGGAATCTCTGCTTTTATGACCCTCCTGCTTCTTCCCCTCTTTAATTAGACAGGAGAGCCAAGACCTCTAGCAATATTATTTTAGGGTTTGAAGGACTCCTCCTGCTCAGATATCTGTCACCATTTATATTTTTACAGCCTGTTACAGTTTACAAAGGGCTTTCATATGCCCTCAATTTCATTGAATACATCAATATTTATTCCATATCTGGAAGTAGAGAAAACAGTAATTTTTTCTTTCATTTTATTAACAGGAGCCATTGAACAACACAAGGTCACACAGATACTGCTTGATGAAATCTGGTCTCAAAAGTAAATTTTTCTAATAATCCTTTTACTAGAGTGAGAATCCTGCCATTTCTTCCCATGGGAAGTAGAAAAGGCTACACTAAAGTTGAACGTTAAAATACTCGTATGCCCAGGAGAGGAACTTAGCATTGACACTGTCGTGTTAGTATCTGATCAGAGATGCTTATTCCAGACCAGGGAGGTGCTTGGGGTCATTGGCTGAGTCAGTTCATAGGGGGACTTAAACCTTTGCTGAGAATGGGCTTCTCACTGAAAATTGCTAGTCAGACTTAACCCAGGCTCTCCAACATCTCCTGGGAGACAAGAATACCTAATAAAACCATGGAGCTACAGTTTGAAGGGACGGGATTGATCAGCACCTTATCTGAAAGAGGTGACTGGGAATGTGGCTCAGGAATGAAGAGAGAAGCTGTGACCAGGAGGTCGGGAGAGAGCCTTTCGATGGGACTAACTTTCCTGTCTTCATACCAAATATTTTCTGCTGAACGGTCAGGAAATGGGGAGTTAGGTATCTCAGCCTTCCCAAGGCTACAATGTGTTTCATATTTGTTTAAGCACCTTGCAGATGATGTTTTTCAGCAATTATCATTATTCCCATTTGGCAGTGGAAACTGCTAGGCATCAGACAGGCCAAACCCAAGGTTACGAGGCTATTTCATGAGAAAAAGACAAAGATTTGAATGTAGATGCAGGTGACACCAGAAATGAGCATTTAGTTATAAACTATGTTACCAAAATTGAAAATGTGTGTAAAAATTTTTTGGCTTCTAGGGGCCCTGCTATAGTATTCAAGTCAAAGGAAATATATTGCCTGCAACATTTCCTCAAAGTGGGCCTCCCTTAGGACTGCCTGTGTGGATTCTGGTCTCACACACGTGAAGCGTCAGAATGTAAGAATATTAAACACACGTTCACCCCCCACACACACACACACACACAGGTTTGCATCTTTGTTTTAAGTCTTCTCTGTTACACATCTTCTTCATGAAGGATGTCAAAGTGTGAGTTTGTCACACACAAAAGCACTCACATGCTGTCACAGAAACACACTTGCAAAGGGTGGTTTATAGACTGTCCTAGCTTATACTCAAACTAGGTAAATATAGCCCAGGGTGAGTCAGCTTCACACAAGTCCACACACAACCTACAAACAAAAGACACTGTCCCATGTACAACACAGCTACCCACAGAAAAGATCTATCACGCATCCTACACCACATGTGTTGTGATCATAGGCAGTCAAACTTACTGAAATCACAAACACACATCTTACAGACAGCACATGGGCAACATAAACCCAAATAACATATGCACACACGTTGCTGGGAGGAAATGTCCAGCCTTCTCCGACCTATGCATATATCCGAGATGAAGGCACTCAGCGTGTGAGTCAGTCACACGCAATATGCAAATGAAGTCATACAACACAACACACACAAAAAGTACACAGAACTTTTCTGATGGACACCCACACACAACTACGGAGATTACTAGGCCCCTTCTGATGTACGCCAGTTCTATGAATTCAAATACATTCTGCTTCGTGTTGTTACCTGAATCCTCACTTTCTGTCCAGAAGAAACAGGATCCAAGGGAAAAAAGGAAACCTCGGTGGCCCGAGGATGTTTACAGACTTTCATGTCTGTTCACCAGCTTCAAAACAATAAGCAATAAGAAGTCCCAGTGGAAAAAAGAAGTCCCAGTGGAAAACAGCCGCAAGTCCCTGACTAGAGAAGCAGTCAAATTGGGCTAATTGCCCCACTTCCTCCTGTCCCTTGGGAAGGAGCATGTTTAGGGTCCAAAGGGGCTGAGCTGCAACTGGAGTCACAGGAGAAAGTATCCCTAATGTCAGTGATACCTTGGGCTTCTGGTCAAGCCACCAACTGGGAAGCAGGAGGTTTCCTAGTCACCTATGGTCTCTGCATTATGAATTTTGATTCTCTGTACAGCAGTGTGTTGCCTGGGCAGTGTAAGGGTCTCAGCAAGATTTTATAGGATCCCACAACACCTATACAAGCCTCCATTAGAACACAAAGCTCCTTAAAAATTTACTTGTCTCTTCGCTTCTCTGTGAAGCTCTGTAGGATAGGGTCTGTGCCCTGTTCAGGAGTTGGGGGATTGAATA